GAAACATAAATGTGAGAGAGACACATTAATTTATTCCTTCCCACACATGCCCAGAACAGGGTTGGGGATTGAACCTGCAACTCAGCTATGTGCCCTTTACTGAGAATCAAACCCATTATCCTTTGGTACACCACTGAGCACACCAGCCAGGGCTCATTTGTCTGTTTCATGTATGACATCTTTTTCTGTTCAGAAAGTTTTCTACAGTAATATCAGTTCTTTTTCTACTTGAATTTTACAGCATTAACGTCTTACTCTACTTTTTGTGATTTTTAAAAACTTGAATATTTAATTTGTTGGGATTTGTTTTTGTGTGTGCTATAAAGTAGGGACTGACTTTATTTTTTCTAACTGAATCATCAATTAATCCAATACCATTTACAAAATGATTTCATTGTTTTCCCTGTAATATAAAATGCCACCATAATCTATACTAAATTTGCACATATACTGAGGTCTGTTTTGAAATACTAAACTCTTTTTTTATTTCTGTAGATTCATAATATGTTTTCATATGTAACAGGGAGAGTTTCTCTTCATTTTATCTTTACAAATGAACTTGAGAATAAATATTGTCAAGGACTAAAATAATTTCATTCTGTTTTGGATTTCATAAGACATTTAAATTAGTTTTACTATTTTATATACATAGAAAGCACAGGCTATATTGATGGGAGAAAGATAAAGATAAATGCATTACCAAAAAAATGGCATCTAATTTGGATAGGCCCTGTAATAAACTCTTTCGCTCATTTAATCTTCAAAACACTCCAGTAAGATATTTAACTCCTCTTATTCTCATTTTGTAACTGAAAACACTGAGGCAATAAAAAGGTTAAGGTATTTTCCAAAGACACATAAGGATTAAGTGATGGAGCTGGAATTTGAACCCTGGACTACTAAATCCAAATCCTGTATTCATAACCAAGTTGGATATATAGTGATTTAATTTTATTGATAATTTAAAATAAAATTTCAGCTTACCAAAATCTGAATGATTTCTTCAGGCTTTTTATCCTCAACTGGTATCCCATTCACTTCCCTAAGTTCATCACCAACATGAATAAGACCTGAGTAATAGCAAATTCAGTAAATTAGCAGTGTTACCTACAAAAGAAACTGTATGTTACACATCTGAGGATTGAAAAGAAGACCTTCTGGCTTCTCCGGTTTCAGATTCCATGCATTTGTATAGCAATGAATCAAAGACTATAACATCAAAGAAAAATATGCTCAGTGTCTAGAAATGCATATAATTTCCATCATAGAAAATAATTCTTACTTTTTTTTAAAAAAGGCTGCATGCTTTTAGTAGTATCTTTCAAGTCTGAATGTAACCTTAGAAGCCCATGTAAACTAAGAGAGTAGAGAGATTTATTTTTCACTTATTTATACAAGTCCCCATATATAAAGACAGAGAAAAATATTTTATTTCTTGTTTGTTGTATTATATCAAAAGATTATTATCCTCTTAGTTAAATATTAAAAATATTATCTATGAAATGAAGCATGACTTGTCTATATTCACTTAACATTTAAACTCTTACCACTTCTGTCTGCAGCCCCTCCTCTCATGATTCTAGCCACAACGATGGCCCCAGTCTGCTCATCTTTCTTAATGGTGGCTCCCTTTGAAGAAATACAAAAGTATTTGTGGGTAAATGTATGTATTGGGTGGTACGACGGGGGAGGAGAAACAAGGAAATTTATCTGGAAAAAGTGAAAACACCTACTACAAAAAATAAAAGGAATGAGGCAGGAGGAATAGACATCATACCATGTGCCTTACAAATGTTCATTACTAGATCTAGAATTTTGTACTATACATATATCATCTACAGTTTCCAGAAAATTTTAAAGATTTTTGAAGTCTTTAGCTTCTTCAATATTATGGAAAATACAACTATCTTCTTTCTATTATAACACTTTGTATTTAAATACTATTTGTTTTTACTCTTTTAAAGCATTTCCTCATTTCATTTCATCTTTAAAATACCCCACAAAGAAGGTAGAGTATATATAGAGAAGGTTAAGTGAATAGAAAAAGATTATATAAATTATAAAAATCAGGTCATCTGACTTTTAGTTCAGTAGTCTTTCTAGTATGCGATTATGGTAATGGAATCAGTAAAAATAATACATTAATTAATTAAAACTCCAAAATTAGTTATATTTCTTAGCCAAGGCTAATATGAATTAATGGAAAAAAAGAACTGTTAGTCCAGGGTTTTTATGAACTAGGATTGTCCCTAGTACAAACAGAACTAACATTTTGGCATAAGATTAGGACACAATTTTAAAAAGAATCCAGAAATTCTTCACTTTTGAATGTTCAGAAGCAGATTAGCTGAATGTTGCTTTGTAAGAACACTAGGCACAAATGGTTACTTTAAATGCCTTTCATGATTTTCCTTTCCAAGAAACTGGCACCAGCTTAGAAATGCCATTCTGCACTGCATCACAGGGCAAAAAAAGATGCACATTGGTGGTGACAGAACTGACCCCAAAGAAGAAAGGTGAATTTTTCTCAGATGTGTCAATAAACACATTTATATCACTAAAAACAAACAGGTAAGCAAAATTAGAAATCCATTTATAATAAGTATATTTTATATATGCTAGCTATTAGATACATATCTCATAATAGTAAAAAGTCAAAAATTTTAAGTGTAGAATGATTTTGTGGCATTTTCATCACCTATTCATGCATTCAAACCAAAGACTTGAATGAGTATCTCTCTATGGTCATAAATCTTAGACTCGCTTATTACTGGTATTTTCTGCTTATAAACAGTTAACATGAAACCGAGGTAACTGGAAATGTAATATTCTTAATATAAATAATGAATTTGGTTAGATCAACTTTCATTTCCCTTAATAATGTATCTTGAACTTTCCCACCAAAGTATGCCTATAAGAGGCTAGTCTACTTATCTAATATTACTTATCCTTAATTTACAGATGAGATCATTTCTTCAAGATGGAGGTCATCAATTCCTTCCCTCTTTGTATGTGTATGTGATATTCCCATATCAAATGGTGAAAATGACTCAGAGGCTTCTAAAGCTACAAGAAGACTTGAAGCTGCCACTTGACTTATGCCAGCCACCATGTGAAAAATCATGACTACTGCTATCCTGTGAGGAAGTCCGAGCTAGGCTGGTGGAAATGACACCTGGAAAAAGAGATACCTGACCAGCCCCCAACTTCCTTCCTACTACAGGCATCAGTTTAACTGTACGTGCTCAGCTGAGCCTGCCAACCTCCAAAACTGTGAAAGTTAATAATAAATTATTGTTTTAGCCACAAATTTTGGTGTGGTTTGTGACACAGAACTACAACTAGGACAGATTTTTCTCCACTATAGTTTATACTGTTTTTCAGTATAGGGCCATCTAATTCATTGTGCCTAATGCTAGTCATCACTTTGACTTATTTTGTGATTCAATGAAATTTACAAGTGTTTACTGAGACCCTACTATGTGCCAGGCTCTGTTCTAAAAGCTTGTAATACAATGGTGAAAAAAAACACAAAAATTTCTGCCCTGTCATGGAGATTAAATCTGCTCTAACAGAAAAGACAGACAATAAAAACATGAGATAATTATATTATACTAGAGGTCCGGTGCACAAAATTCGTGCACTTGAGGGGGGGTCCCTCAGCCTGGCCTGTACCCTCTTGCAGTCTGGGAGCCCTCGGGGGATGTCTGACTGCTGGCTTACTGGGAGCAGGCCTAAGCCAGCAGTGAGACATCCTTAGCGCAGCCAGAGGCGGGAGAGGCTCCCGCCACCTCCATTGTGCTCGCCAGCTGTGAGCCCAGCTCAGGGCTTCTGGCTGAGCGGTGCTCTCCCTGTGAGAGTGCACTCACTACCAGGGGGCAGCTCCTGCGTTGAGCGTCTGCCCGAGGCTCCCGCCTCCATTGTGCTCGCCAGCTGTGAGCCCAGCTCAGGGCTTCTGGCTGAGCGGTGCTCTCCCTGTGAGAGTGCACTCACTACTACCGGGCAGCTCCTGCGTTGAGCGTCTGCCCCCTGGTGGTCAGTGCCGGTTGTTCCGCTGTTCAGTCAATTTGCATATTAGCCTTTTATTATAT